GCCGTCCGCAGCCGTCCACGCAGTTCTCCGCACCCATTTGCCGTCCGCAGCCGTCCGCGCAGCCACGCTCGCTCATCACCAGCGGCTTCTTCTCCCCATCCATTTCCAGCCACGCCGTTGCACTCGCGCCATCCACAACCGTCCGCGCACTTCTCCGCGCCCATTCCCCGTCCGCAGCCGTCCGCGCGCAGGCAGCAAGGTCGCTCATCACCAGCGGCTTTTTCTCCCCACCCATTTCCAGCCACCCCCTTGCACCCACGCCGTCCGCATATCAGCCGTCCGCCAGTTCTCTATTTTCTCCGCACCACATTGCCGTCCGCATCCGTCCGCGCCGAGCCAATGTCGCTCATCACCAGCGTCTTCTTCTCCCCACCCCATTTCCAGCCCCCTGCCGTTGCACCCACGCCGTCCGCATCCGTCCAACGCAGTTCTCTCCGCACCCATTTGCCGTCCGCAGCCGTCCGCGCAGCCCAGGTCGCTCATCACCAGCGGCTTCTTCTCCCCACCCATTTCCAGCCACTCCGTTGCACCCACGCCGTCCGCAGCCGTCCCCGCAGTTCTCCGCACCCATTTGCCGTCCGCAGCCGTCCGCGCAGCCAAGGTCGCTCATCCCCACCGGCTTCTTCTCCCCACCCATTTCCAGCCACTCCGTTGCACCCACGCCGTCCGCAGCCGTCCACGCAGTTCTCCGCACCCATTTGCCGTCCGCAGCCGTCCGCGCAGCCAAGGTCGCTCATCACCAGCGGCTTCTTCTCCCCACCCATTTCCAGCCACCCCCTTGCAGCCACGCCGTCCGCAGCCGTCCGCGCAGTTCTCCGCACCCATTTTCCCCTTCCGCAGCCGTCCGCGCAGCCAAGCTCGCTCATCACCAGCGGCTTCTTCTCCCCACCCATTTCCAGCCACCCCCTTGCACCCACGCCGTCCGCAGCCGTCCGCGCAGTTCCTTGCTGCTGTATAGTGGTTGCTCTGGTTGCCCTTTGTTTTTTCGTATCTATTAAGATCTCAGCTATAAGGAGGCTTAGAGTTGTGAGAAGGAATGGCGTCGTCATAAACATCATGGACATGGATTTAAGCCTCGGCTCCTGTTATATTTTTAAACTGTTAAACTACTTAACACAGGTCAAATCAACTTGAATGTTCTTTCATTGGTCGATTGTTAAATCTTATGGGAGTTCAATATCAGTATTGTTGTTGTGGTAATAGTTTCAGAAAACAAGGGGGGGCCTGAGAACCCAAAAGCAAAACGACAGCAAACAAATCAAATTAAATCACTTTCACAACCCAATGACTTGCCTTCATTACTACCCATCTGCAGATAAAACAGGATAGACTTACCACCCCTTTACAACAGGAAAAGAAACCAATCAATCTAACGATCAAATTTCTACCCCAGCCCTCCGCACTTTGCCCTTGTCGGTGTCGATTCATCCCGACGTCGCAAAACCTAAATATATACGCTCAGATGTGCGACCGGTGACTTTCAATTGCGGCGCAATATAAGCAACAGTTGTCCATCCAGCTGATTCCTTGCTGTGCCCTGCTTCCAGGCTCGATGCTGCACATCATATGCCTGGATAACTCCAAGGGGTTTGATGTCCTTCCCAAACTAGCTTTTGGAAATCCGACAATTCGCATCAACATGTCGAAATCAACAGATCCTTCCACAAACAGCATCTTTGCACTTGTTTCACCGCTCCTGGAACGCTCGGCGTGCGGATTTCAGCGTCCCCCCGCTTTTGAGGCATGACAGGTTCATGTTGGCGCAAAGGGAGAGTGGACTCCGACATTTCTATGGAGGAGTCGATCAGATTGCAGTAGGACAGCATTTTCGTCTCAAGATGTTCAAACAACTGTTGGTAGGAGCTGTTTGAAGCAGACTCCTCCGTTCCAAACTGGCAGCGGAACAAATAGGATGCCATTTCAAGATGGGCCTCAAGGAAATGGGCTAGGCTTCCAACAAACTCGGACGCAATATATACAGGGAGCCGCTCTTGTGCGCCAGTGGCTGGTTTCTCTATTACAGCAGCCAAAGAGAAGAAGACATCTGACAACAGGGTTGTCGTCTCCCTGCGCTGAGCCTATGGCTTGGAACCGCCATACAATACGGCCTAACAATGAACATATGGATATTGCATGTTTCAATTTCAAAGCCTCCTAGATCCTAGGAAATGATAGCAATCAAATCATCATATAAGTTATATAAATATAGTAACAAATAGCAATAAACCACACAATACTATAGGAGAATCATGGAGAATCACATGCAATAAAATCAGCAACTCTCTGGAAACAGTACGGTATTCTTGGCCGCACGGAAGCTTTTCGTAGGTTCATGTTGGCGCAAAGGGAGAGTGGACTCCGACATTTCTATGGAGGAGTCGATCAGATTGCAGTAGGACAGCATTTTCGTCTCAAGATGTTCAAACAACTGTTGGTATGAGCTCTTTGAAGCAGACTCCTCCGTTCCAAACTGGCAGCGGAACAAATAGGATGCCATTTCAAGATGGGCCTCAAGGAAATGGGCCAGGCTTCCAACAAACTCGGACGCAATATATACAGGGAGCCGCTCTTGTGCGCCAGTGGCTGGTTTCTCTATTACAGCAGTCAAACAGAAGAAGACATCTGACAACAGGGTTGTCGTCTCCCTGCGCTGAGCCTATGGTTTGGAACCACCATACAATACGGCCTAACAATGAACATATGGATACTGCATGTTTCAATTTCAAAGCCTCCTAGATCCTAGGAAATGATAGCAATCAAATCATCATATAAGTTATATAAATATAGTAACTAATAGCAATAAACCACACAATACTATAGGAGAATCATGGAGAATCACAAGCAATAAAATCAGCAACTCTCTGGAAACAGTACGGTATCTTGGCCGCACGGAAGCTTTTCCATACAGCCTGACACGCCATCGGGCGTTCAGATTCCAGAGGCTTTCATGAGGACTCATGGCCTGCACTTTCTGCCAGGTTTGCTTTGTGAAATATGGTTATTGTGATTGCATCCCATTGCTCGGAAATAAGTTTCTTTCTCTTCCAGCAATCATTAGGTTTGGTGGCATTGTTTGAAATAGAGTAGGGCCATCTATTTTTTCGATGGGTTAATGATGAGTACTGGTCATTAAACTTGGAAGACAACTTGGATCTACAACTGTCGATGACCATAGTCATATCAAATCATACGCAATGCATTCTATACCATGCGATACCAACAGTTTTGACACACATTATAGATCATTGTAGTAAATACATGTAAATACATGTATACAAATACACGTTAATATATACATGCAAATACATGTAAACAATGCAAATACCATTACAAAACGTGATGGCAATAAGGCCATACCCAGACTCCGCAGCAGTTCGACTTCCTTTGCTTTCACAACTGCGGCCGGCTGTTAAATTTGGAGGCCCATATGTGTGCACTCACTAGTTTTCTATGGGTAAAAACGTATAAGGGTGCAAATCATACCGTTTGGATAACGGCCGGTCGCCAACACGCCTCACTTTGCAACGTTCGCAAACCTGCGATCAAAATCAAAAAAGCGCTTGGACCACCGCGCTGTCATCATGGGAGGCAATGGTGGCATTGCCACAGAAACATTCATGCTGGCTTTAACTCGACCCCAGAGACTTGAGTCACGGCAGATTTGGCAAATACATATCGGCGCGGCCTTTCAGCAGCAGCTGCAAGCGCTGTGGCAGCCTGGTACACATCAGCGCCATCATTCAAATGTGTCATGTCCACTCTGCTAATCATAAATCAGCTGCAACCAAGATGGTTTCCAGCAACCCTCTGTTGACTTATTTCAGACGCCGCAACCTTCTATGTATCTCGTCCCTCTTCCCAAGTTCTGTTCCTGACGCCTGCTTGAACTCCTGGCCCTCCTCCGTTTCGTTCGCTTTTTGCCAAGCCTGTCATGCATAACTGTTCCAACTACATGTCGAAGGTACTCACGGACATACAACGGAGACCACGTGCCCTTTGCGCAACAAAAACCAACAAACAAAATTTCCAGTCCATGCCAACATCTGGCATATCTAAGATTCTTTCCGTACATAGTGTGGCGACATTGAGGGGTTCTTACGGTATAGGTGTTACATGTTAAGACTTGGTTTTCAGTCGAGGTGGTTCATCTGTCCGCGGGATAGCTTCTCACCCGGCCATTTCTCCTATCATATCTCGTCTGACGGGATAGCTTCTAACAACCTAGAAACCCTTGTATGGCAAGTGCTCAGTCGCGTCGCGATCAGACTTTTACTGCATACCGAGATTCCGCGTCAAGATGAAATCAAAAACAAAGGTACCTGCACTCATTTTGCCTTATCTCACGAATCCGCTCCGTGTCACCAGACCAGTCTCAATCAACTTGAGGCCTAGGGGGGGAGGTGAACGAAAGCTACGGGCTATAATGAATGTGGAACTAGGTGAGGTGAACTCGGAAACATGCAGAGAAGGGCAGATGACAGTGATCCATATGGAAGGATTCAAGAGGGTGTCGCAGAAGAAGTGCAATTTTCAGTTTGCAGTCCTATAACAAGTGAAGGAAAGAAGATGGGTAGTGGAAAAAGTTGGCCCCCTATCGAGAAATATTTTTCATTGGACCGAGGATCAAATTGTTTTTAATTGGGCAAAATTTTTGATGGGGCCCAAAGCTCCTCAATGTTGACCTGAGGTAGAAAGAATTTATGGTGCCGTATGTTCTGGTGAGGCATCTTGCAGGAGAGTTCATCAGAACTGATTTCATCAGATTTCATCAGATTTCATTAGATTTCATCAGATTTCATCAGATTTCATCAGGTTTCATCAGGTTTCATCAGAACTGATTTTTTCCCTAATTTCCACATGTCCATGGAACAAAACCAAATTGAAATCCAAACCAAGCCAAAAAACAAACACCCAGAACCAAATTGCATTGCAGCCTTTTGCCTTTCAAGGTTTGTTTGTGCAGCCATTTTGCTTTTTCAGCTATGGGGAAATCAATGAAGGTTATGAAAAAGGTGATGAAATCAACCCCTGCAAAGTGGAAGCCAACCTCTGGGAACAGGAATCAAACCCTTGCCAAAGGGAAAAAAAAACATCTGCAAAGGGGAAGCCAACCTCTGCAAAGGGGAAGCCAACCCTGCAAAGGGGAAACCTTTGAAAAATGGTGCAGCCCAGGCAGGAATCTTGAAAAAAAAACAACTTGCAAAAGTTGGGGCAGCTGTCCCTTCAAGACAAAATCAAAAAAAAAACGCAGAAAACAATCATGATGAAAATGAAGCAGCAAAGGAGCTGCAGCTCAGCATGACCCCAGCTGAGAAAAGCAGGACTTGGTCCAAACACCAAACCCACCTCAACAAGGATGGCAATGAGGAAGAAAGGGATGCATTCAACAATGCATCCAAAAATGAAAAGGGTGAGCTGACAGCCCTTTTCCTCATGAGAAAGGAAGCTGCCAAGTTCTGCAATGTTAGCAGGTCCATTGGCACCAAGCAAGAGGTGACCATGACAGAGCACTGGTTATCAGAGAAAGAAGCCCTTGAAAAATGGGGAGATGATTTGGAAAAACATTGCGCCAGTGGCAGGGTGCAGTGGAGGCAGTGTAAGACAACTTGGGGAGCCTATGAGTACATGGACACACAGGACTACACAAAGACAACCACAGGAACAGCCAAAAGGAGCTGGACCCAAGGCCAGGAGTTCCAGCAGAATGAGGGTGAATATGGAAGCTGGGACAACTTCTTGGAAAAGGAGCTGCATTCGCTGATCATGGATCAAACCCCTGGGAAGGGGAAGGGAAAGGGAAGGTGAGCCAAAAAAAAGGCAAAGGCAGGGGCAAAGGAGATACCAACCAGGAAGCACCCAAAGCACTTGAAGACTTGCCACCAGATGAGCAGCAAGTTGAGTGCATCAAGAAGCTCAAAAAAACGAGGGATTTAGTGCAGCAATGCATGACAAACTATGAAGAAGCACTTGAAAAAGTGAAAGGCATGAAGTACCTCACAAAGCCTGCCTTCAGAGAGAAGGAAGCACAGCTCGCAAAGCTGGAAGCAACACTTGGGAAAGTGAAGAAACAACTTGCAAAAGGTGACAAGGGAAAGGTCAGCATCACCAAAGATGTCTTGAAAGAAGCTGTGGCCACCATCTCAGAAGCCAAAGAGGAAGCCAAGGAGCTTGTCCAGATCATCATGAAGACCCAATCCAAAAGTTCCAGAAAGTGAGAACATGGCAGAATCCTTGCAAAAGGGATGCAGTTTTGCAAAAAAAAGGAAATCACCTTTGCAAAAGGATGGGTCCAAAGAAAGGGTTTGTGTGGGTGTGGGAGATTGAGTCCACCTCTGCAATGTATGTGTGAACACATATACACCTTTGAAAAAAGGACTTACCTTTGCAAAAGGGGATGGCAAGTGGACACTCCTCACACAACAACTCTTTTACAAGGGACCTGTAGCATTTTTGGGTGCCTTGAGCACAAAAGCACCAGGCACAGACCAACCAACTTGTGCAAACAAATTGCGTCTGGCTGCTGGTGCTTCTTGGGGTACCTGTGTGGTTCTTATGGTTGTTTTGGAACTAAATGTGTTTCACCCTGCACAAGCTGTACTTTTGAAATGGTGTTGTCCCCCCACCCTTTCACCACCCACATGTGTTCATGCCTGCAGCTTTTTGGCTTAGGCCTTGGGCCATAAGCCAGCCTTTTAACATAGGCTTTGCCCACAAGGTGACCTTTGCAAAAGGGGCCAAACAACCTTTGCAAAAGGGGGATGCAAGGTGTAAAGAGGCTGAGAGGAGTGGACATGGAAGGCAGCATGGAATAGAAGAAGGGAAAGCAGTTGCACCTTTGAAAAAGGGAAGGTGCACATCGAGAGAACCCTGCATGAGAAGGATTGGAACCCCTGCAAAGGGGAAAACTATTACCTCCCTTCAAAGCAAGGTGAGGAACCCCAAGCTCACAAGCAAAAAGAGCTGTGAGAACACAAGGTTGTGGGAAGGGTAACAAAATCAGAGTTCAATATTGATTTCTGACTTGATTTGTAGATTGATTTGAATTGATTTTTATATTGACTTGTGTATTGATTTGCAGATTGATTTTTGCCTTCAAAAACCTATAAAATGCCAATTGATTTCAAAATCAATTTTTTCAATATTTTAGATTGATTTGAATTGTTTTTTTTCAAAATCAATAGACTGATTAGAATCAATATTTGATGCTCAGGGTATACCAAAGGTTCTATCCCTGATAATTCAAGCTTTCGTACTCCAGCTACCACTTACTTCAACGACACGTCCAAGCAAGACTTCCCAGCCAACTCCCTATCGGCTGCAAGACATATCTTGCGACTCGGCCTCCACATCATCGTTTTTCGCTTCTTCTGGCCCACCTTCTCAACCAAGCCACAACTGTGAATCAACGGACGCATCCTTTCTGTGAAATTCTGCCTTGGGGAATATGCTTGATATACTTGGACTCTTCATTTGACAACGAAGGAAAAACATCTACAATATGCAAAACCTTCTTAGCGCAGGAAATGATTTAGCAGTCGGTGGCCTGCTGCAACTTCGCCGCCGCTGCGACGTTGTGACGAATCCACAACCTGCTGCTGCGGGAAGCTGAAGCCCAGGTCACACTCAAGTCGAATGCATGCCAACAGTTCTGCGGTCCTCTCGTCTTTTCTTCCGACGCTTTAACCTCTCTAGTCCATCATCCTGTCGCTACGCGACAGCCAGCAACTAACAAAAAAGCAGCTTCTTCCACAACTAAACTGACAAGACAAATCAAAACATCACTGGCTCCTTCTTCTTTCCTATCCGTTTCGCCATGGCACGCGGCATTCTGCTAAACCCACGCTGCTTCAGCCACAACAGCACATCCAATTTTTACATTCGACCCGTTGTTCCCGACCCAAACAAAAACGAAAACAGGGAAAAGAAAGAAGGCAAAGACGTTGCAAACATCGAAACACGGAGAACCCAAAAACGTTTCTTTCCCATGAGTGTCCTATTGCCGAGCGTTTCGCATCCATGTCACAAGTCTTATTACAAGCTTTGCACGATTTCCTCTCCGTCCAGCATGCTGTCTCGCTCCCTCCCAGCGAAGCTCTCCACAAGCTATTTCCACATATTTCCACGGTTTTGTTATGTCCAGCATGCTGTCTCGCCCCCTCCCAGCGAAGCTCTCCGCAAACATTTCCGACCCATTTCCCGTCCGCAGCCGTCCGCGCAGCCAAGCTCGCTCATCACCAGCGGCTTCTTCTCCCCACCCATTTCCAGCCACTCCGTTGCACCCACGCCGTCCGAGGGACCCCAGGTTTTTCATTGTAGACCTTTTTTGGTGGGTCTAAAATGAACTTGCCAGGGAGTAAACGTCAGAAATCGTTAAGTGTTCAGACCCTACCCTAGGGTTCTGGGTCCAGGCCTCGGCAGGTGTTTCCAGTAGCATGTTAGCTGGCTAGGAACACTTTAGACCCTCAACGGCTAAGAACAGTTTAGACCTCTGGTCCCTGGTCCCCCCATGTCCCCCCGTCAGATTAAACCTCTGTTTTTTCCTCAGTAGGGGCGTCTACTCTACTTTGGGCTATCGCTTGATGGCATTATACTTTCTTCTTACTGCTGCATTTTGAAGACAAACACAGTCTCAAAGCTTCTGCGTCTTGGGGGTTTGTAGGGCCCGTGTCATTTGTGGTTGTTGCCATGCGACGTCTCCAATCATTTCTAGCATGCCTCATTTTGATCACCCATCCGTTGGAAGCAGCTAAGGAGGCCTGGGAATCATGTCAAAAGATTCATTTATCTGTGAAACATATGTTGTATTTGAGCAGAGTCTTTCGTGAAGGGCTGGGTAGGGTCTGATGGGTGTATGTTGAATTGCGTAGGTGCTTTGTCGGGAAAGGATGCAATAAGGGATAGGGAAATTCATTCTAAACCCTATGAATCCCATCAGGTAAATTTTTTGTCCTTTCTTTAGGGTCCAACAGATTCATTCAGTTCCATGTAGTTTCTGAAAACACTTGAGAAAATATATGGATATCTTATGATATATCCTTGTACTGGGTTTCATGCTAAATTTTCCCTCAACTCTGATGGGTCTATGTTGATATTGCGTAGGTGTTTTCCTGGGGAATGGATACAATAACGGCTACAAAAATCCGTTTTAGACGCAGTGAATTCCATCAGGTAAATATTTTGTCCTTTCTCTGGGGTCCAACAGATTCATTCAGTTCCATGTAGTTTCTGAAAACATTTGAGGAAATCAATGGATATCTTATCATATATCCTTCCATCGGGTTTCATGTCAAAATTTCCCTCAACTCTGATGGGTCTATGTTGATATTGCGTAGGCGTTTCCTGGGGAATGGATACAATAAGGGCTAGGGAAATCCATTTTAGACGCAGTGAATTACAGCAGGTAAACATGTTGTCCTTTCTCTGGGGTCCAACAGATTCATTCAGTTCCATGTAGGTTTCTGAAAACATTTGTGGAAATATATGGATATCTTATGATATATCTTTCTATCGGGTTTCATGTCAAAATTTCCCTCAACTCTGATGGGTCTATGTTGATATTGCGTAGGTGTTTTCCTGGGAAAGGATGCAATAAGGGCAAGGGAAATCCATTTTAGACCCAGTGAATTACATCAGGTAAATATGTTGTCCTTTCTCTGGGATCCAACAGATTCACTCAGTTCCATGTAGTTCTGAAAACATTTGTGGAAATATATGGATATCTTATGATATATCCTTCTATCGGGTTTCATGTCAAATTTTCCCTCAACTCTGGTGGGTCTATGTTGATATTGCGTAGGTGTTTTCCTGGGGAATGGATACAATAAGGGCTAGGGAAATCCATTTTAGACGCAGTGAATTACAGCAGCTAAACATGTTGTCCTTTCTCTGGGGTCCAACAGATTCATTCAGTTCCATGTAGGTTTCTGAAAACATTTATGGAAATATATGGATATCTTATGATATATCCTTCTATCGGGTTTCATGTCAAATTTTCCCTCAACTCTGATGGGTCTATGTTGATATTGCGTAGGTGTTTTCCTGGAAAAGGATGCAATAAGGGCTAGGGAAATCCATTTTAGACCCAGTGAATTCCATCAGGTAAGTGAAATAATTGTGATGACGTAGATTAAAGTAGAGTAGACGTCCCTGCTGCATGTTTGGGCATGTCGCAGCTAGAACCAGGTATTTGACTCATTTGACCCTTCCGAATTCAATTTGAAGCTTTGGAGATTTGGCTGGAAAATCTCCCTGTCCTTCCCTGCGAAGGTCCAACATGATCCCATCCAGAGGGTGCGAAGGTCTAACATGATCCCAAAAGGCAAAGGTCTAACATGGTGTTACCAGTCCTTACTATATAGTCAAAAGGTCTTAAGTGATCCCTGGCCAAGGTCTAAACTGAAAAAAAAAACATTCTAGACCTTGAAAATTTGGACCTGTAAGCAAACCATTCCAGACCCTCTTGTACCTGAGGGTATTCCGCACCCATTTGCCGTCCGCACCCGTCCGCGCAGCCAAGCTCGCTCATGACCAGCGGCTTCTTCTCCCCATCCATTTCCAGCCACGCCGTTGCACTCGCGCCATCCACAACCGTCCGCGCACTTCTCCGCACCCATTTGCCGTCCGCAGCCATCCGCGCAGCCAAGCTCGCTCATCACCAGCGGCTTCTTCCCCCCACCCATTTCCAGCCACTCCGTTGCACCCACGCCGTCCGCAGCCGTCCACGCAGTTCTCCGCACCCATTTGCCGTCCGCAGCCGTCCGCGCAGCCAAGCTCGCTCATCACCAGCCGCTTCTTCTCCCCACCCATTTCCAGCCACTCCGTTGCACCCACGCCGTCCGCAGCCATCCGCGCAGTTCTCCGCACCCATTTGCCGTCCGCAGCCGTCCGCGCAGCCAAGGTCGCTCATCACCAGCGGCTTCTTCTCCCCACCCATTTCCAGCCACCCCCTTGCACCCACGCCGGCCGCAGCCGTCCGCGCAGTTCTCCGCACCCATTTGCCGTCCGCAGCCGTCCGCGCAGCCAAGGTCGCTCATCACCAGCGGCTTCTTCTCCCCACCCATTTCCAGCCACTCCGTTGCACCCACGTCCGCAGCCGTCCGCGCAGTTCTCCGCACCCATTTGCCGTCCGCAGCCGTCCGCGCAGCCAAGGTCGCTCATCACCAGCGGCTTCTTCTCCCCACCCATTTCCAGCCACCCCCTTGCACCCACGCCGTCCGCAGCCGTCCGCGCAGTTCTCCGCACCCATTTGCCGTCCGCAGCCGTCCGCGCAGCCAAGGTCGCTCATCACCAGCGGCTTCTTCTCCCCACCCATTTCCAGCCACCCCCTTGCACCCACGCCGTCCGCAGCCGTCCGCGCAGTTCTCCGCACCCATTTGCCGTCCGCAGCCGTCCGCGCAGCCAAGGTCGCTCATCACCAGCGGCTTCTTCTCCCCATCCATTTCCAGCCACGCCATTGCACTCGCCCATCAAACCGTCCGCGCAGTTCTCCGCACCCATTTGCGTCCGCAGCATCCGCGCAGCCAGTCGCTCATCACCAGCGGCTTCTTCTCCCCACCCATTTCCAGCCACTCCGTGCAACCCGCCGTCCGCCGCCGTCGTTCCCGCACCCCCCATTGCCGTTCGCCAGCCGTCGCAGCAAGGTCGCCTCACATCGCTTCTCCCACCACAACACTCCGTTGAACCCACGCCTCCGCAGCCATCCATTTCTCCGCCCATTTGCCGTCCGCAGCCGTCCGCGCAGCCAAGGTCGCTCATCACCAGCGGCTTCTTCTCCCCACCCATTTCCAGCCACCCCCTTGCACCCACGCCGTCCGCAGCCGTCCGCGCAGTTCTCCGCACCCATTTGCCGTCCGCAGCCGTCCGCGCAGCCAAGGTCGCTCATCACCAGCGGCTTCTTCTCCCCACCCATTTCCAGCCACTCCGTTGCGCAGCCACGCCGTCCGCAGCCGCCCACGCAGTTCTCCGCACCCATTTGCCGTCCGCAGCCGTCCGCGCAAGCCAAGGTCGCTCATCACCAGCGGCTTCTTATTCTCTCCACCCACGCAGTTCTCCGCACCCATTTGCCGTCCGCAGCCGTCCGCGCAGCCAAGGTCGCTCATCACCAGCGGCTTCTTCTCCCCACCCATTTCCAGCCACTCCGTTGCACCCACGCCGTCCGCAGCCGTCCACGCAGTTCTCCGCACCCATTTGCCATCCGCAGCCGTCCGCGCAGCCACGCTCGCTCATCACCAGCGGCTTCTTCTCCCCATCCATTTCCAGCCACGCCGTTGCACTCGCGCCATCCACAACCGTCCGCGCACTTCTCCGCCATTTGCCGTCCGCAGCCATCCGCGCAGCCAAGCTCGCTCATCACCAGCGGCTTCTTCTCCCCACCCATTTCCAGCCACTTCGTTACACCCACGCCGTTCGCAGCCGTCCACGCAGTTCTCCGCACCCATTTGCCGTCCGCAGCCGTCCGCGCAGCCAAGCTCGCTCATCACCAGCCGCTTCTTCTCCCCACCCATTTCCAGCCACTCCGTTGCACCCACGCCTTCCGCAGCCATCCGCGCAGTTCTCCGCACCCATTTGCCGTCCGCAGCCGTCCGCGCAGCCAAGGTCGCTCATCACCAGCGGCTTCTTCTCCCCACCCATTTCCAGCCGCCCCCTTGCACCCACGCCGTCCGCAGCCGTCCGCGCAGTTCTCCGAACCCATTTGCCATCCGCAGCCGTCCGCGCAGCCAAGGTCGCTCATCACCAGCGGCTTCTTCTCCCCACCCATTTCCAGCCACTCCGTTGCACCCACGCCGTCCGCAGCCGTCCACGCAATTCTCCGCACCGATTTGCCGTCCGCAGCCGTCCGCGCAGCCAAAGTCGCTCATCACCAGCGAAATCTTCTCCCCACCCATTTCTATAGCCACCCCCTTGCACCCACGCCGTCCGCAGCCGTCCACGCAGTTCTCCGCACCCATTTGCCGTCCGCAGCCGTCCGCGCGGCCAAGGTCGCTCATCACCAGCGGCTTCTTCTCCCCACCCATTTCCAGCCACTCCGTTGCACCCACGCCGTCCGCAGCCGTCCACGCAGTTCTCCGCACCCATTTGCCGTCCGCAGCCGTCCGCGCAGCCACGCTCGCTCATCACCAGCGGCTTCTTCTCCCCATCCATTTCCAGCCACGCCGTTGCACTCGCGCCATCCACAACCGTCCGCGCACTTCTCCGCACCCATTCCCCGTCCGCAGCCGTCCGCGCAGCCAAGGTCGCTCATCACCAGCGGCTTCTTCTCCCCACCCATTTCCAACCACCCCGTTGCACCCACGCCGTCCGCAGCCGTCCGCGCAGTTCTCCGCACCCATTTGCCGTCCGCGCAGCCAAGGTCGCTCATCACCAGCGGCTTCTTCTCCCCACCCATTTCCAGCCACCCCCTTGCACCCACGCCGTCCGCAGCCGTCCGCACAGTTCTCCGCACCCATTTGCCGTCCGCAGCCGTCCGCGCAGCCAAGGCCCCTCATCACCAGCGGCTTCTTCTCCCCCCACAGCCACTCCGTTGCACCCACGCCGTCCGCAGCCGTCCACGCAGTTCTCCGCACCCATTTGCCGTCCGCAGCCGTCCGCGCCGCCAGCCGTCCACAGCACGCCGTTGCACTCGCGCACCCATCTTCCGCCGTCCGCAGCCGTCCGCGCAGCCAAGGTCGCTCATCACCAGCGGCTTCTTCTCCCCACCCATTTCCAGCCACTCCCTTGCACCCAGGCCGTCCGCAGCCGTCCGCTCCATTCCTTTCCTTTCCTTTCCCATCTTTTTCCGTTCCTTTCCCATCCTTTCCCTTCCTTTCCCTTCCTTTCCCATCCTTTCCCTTCCTTTCCCTTCCTTTCCCTTCCTTTCCCTTCCTTTCCCTTCCTTTCCCTTCCTTTCCCTTTTCCTTCCTTTCCCATCCTTTCCCTTCTGTCCCTTCCTTTCCCTTCCTGTCCCTTCCTTTCCCATCCTTTCCCTTCCTTTCCCTTCCTTTCCCTTCCTTTCCCTTCCTTTCCCTTCCTTTCCCTTCCTTTTCCTTCCTTTCCCTTCCTTTTTCCTTCCTTTTTCCTTCCTTTCCCTTCCTTTTTCCTTCGTTTCCCTTCCTTTCCCTTCCCTTTCCCTTCCTTTCCCTTCCTTTCCCTCCTTTCCCTTCCTTTCCCTTCCTTTCCCTTCCTTTCCCTTCCTTTCCCTTCCTTTCCTTTCCTTTCCTTTCCCTTCCTTTCCTTTCCTTTCCTTTCCTTTCCCTTGCACCCACGCCGTCCGCACACCACCGTTCGAGCCAGGTCGCTCCCCCACGCGGTTAAACAACTAAACGAGAACCCAAGCATCGAAGATGCTTTTGGGAAAAAGTAATATATATATATATATCATTTGCACCTGGAATTTACACTGTCCAAAAGTTGTTCCAACACGCCCAGGCTGCATCCCTGCAAACATAAAGCCATGAATTGATGAAGATCATATGCATACTTGAATGCCATTAAGTTGTGGAATCGTGGTAAGAGTTGAAATAATTGGTTTAAACAATATGAAATTACAACCACTAAATCTGAATCTTCATTACTTGATATTTTTTGGATGTGCTACAAGCCAACTTTGCCAAACCAAAGTTTGGGGCCTGTTCGAAAAATTATGCATCACATCAGAAAGATTTCAACATCAGTCCTTGCACCCAACCTTGCGCGGCTCAGCTCAGGCTGAGCAATCCGGCGTGTCCAATGGGTTTTGGAGAGATTGTGTGAAATGATTCTGGTCATTGTAGTTTTTTTTGGTAAACGTGTGCTTTCAAATGCGATGACTGGCAGCTCCATATGTCACATGTGTTAAGTTATGATGCCTGAATCACAATTTGTGCCAGTGAAAATATTCAATCAATTTTTGGCAAATCGTGGTATATTTGGGCAAACCTTGGCATTTCTTGGCGGATCTTGGCAGCATGTTCTGCAGCACCCTTCCAAGGCCCATGTCATCTTAGTGACCGGGCCTTGCAGGGCGTTGCCTGCGGATATTATTGGCGACAAGAACTTTCGGCAAAGCCCGGCAAGGCCCATGTCATCTTAGTGATCGGGCCTTGCAGGGCGTTGCCTGCGGATATTATTGGCGACAAGAACTTCCGGCAAAGCCCGGCAAGGCCCATGTCATCTTAGTGATCGGGCCTTGCAGGGCGTTGCCTGCGGATATTATTGGCGACAAGAACTTCCGGCAAAACCCGGCAAGGCCCATGTCATCTTAGTGACCGGGCCTTGCAGGGCGTTGCCTGCGGATATTGTTGGCGACGAGAACTTTCAGCAAAGCCCAGCAAGGCCCATGTCATCTTAGTGACCAGGCCTTGCAGGGCCTTGTTATTGGCGACAAGAACATCCGGCAAAGTCCTGCAAGGCCCAGTCATCTTGTGACTGGGCCTTGCAGGGAGTTATTAAGATTCAATAGCAAGGTAGCCCTGAAACTGAGAACAGTGTCGTCATGTGTCGTCAATTGGCTCCAGTCACTGCGTGCAGCATTTTTTTCCGGAGACTCACGTGCCGATCACACGAATTGAATTACACCCCGCAGGCAATTTTTAATTGGCAGCGCCGCCAAAAAAATAGAACGCTGACACACAGTCAACTGTCACATCACGCGCTTTCAAACACTTTCAAACGCTTTAATGGACGTGGTGGGCCCATCGGTTCTGGGTCGGCCTCCAAAATTTGGGACTTGAAAATGCGGACGTGGCATTCAGATTCAGGCCGATCTGTCCCCAAATTCATCTCTTCAAGCCGTCGTGCCAACTGCTGGAAGGCTTTGACCTCACATTCCTGCACATGGACTGGGCAAGGACGAAAATGCAGAAATGTTTGGTCTTTATTATAACGTATTTGTCGTTCAGGCTAGCATCCTTTTGAACATTGAATATGTTACTGTAAACACAACAAGTAGGGGCACTACAACCAGTCACAAGCGAAACTCCCTTTTCTCAAGTTGGGACAACTCGTGAGCCTTCATATGGCGGGTGCAAGTCCAATGGGGTCAAATTGACACTCCATAACTATACTGTTGGACTTGCACTAAATGGCAGATCCGTCCACCTCACGTTCCACCACCACTGCTTTACGTCGTTCAAGACCTTGGTGGATGTCAGCCAACTGAGACTTAGTTGGCACCCAACGAAGGGTCTTTGCACCAGGTAGTTCTCGGCCCCACCTCTGGTATTCGTCGTTAACCATGTGCCTCAAAGCAGTCAAATCGACTAGGAGGCGCTTCTCGGTGGGAGCACGAGGGCCACCAACACGGTGGACATTGTCGTAGAGGGACTTACAGTCCGTCACAGAGACGATAGGGAACAGGTCTCTGGACATCTCCTCACGGGTGGTGGCCACGCCTGGTCGGAGAGCCCCGGCCACATAGGCTCTGAATGCCAGAGCATCTTCCCATCCACCCAGGGCCGCCATTGTTTCAGCTGCGAAGGTGCTGCGGCACACCCGGGGGCAGGCCTGGGATTGCCATCCAACGACCATAGACGGGCAACGAGCTCCTTCAAGAGCATCCCGTGTTGTCATCAACATCACGTGGCCAAGTTGGGAATAGACCCCTTGTCCTTGTGCATCATCTGCTTCATGAGGTTCAACGACGGGGTCAGGTTGCACGTTGGCCCAGGCTGCGTCGTGATACACCAGAAGCAGCAGCTTGCTATAGGGTCATCCGTAAGCCGGGTGAACCGCAAGGGCTCATCTTTGCCAGCTTGGGCCATCTTGACCACACGGTTTGTCTCCTTCACATCTCCGTAGGTTGGAGACTTTTGTTTTCGTTGTGCAAGTGATACACCAGCTTGGAGGTCAGGTCGGCTTTGTGATGCCAGCCACGACAAAGCTCCCACAGTGCTCATGTTATCCTGCTTGGTGACCTCATCCGCCGGGTCGTCGAGGTTGTACGCAGCCGGGAACTCGACAGTCTCCAAGCGGAAGTTAATGTACGACTTCTGGTGCACCTCAATCACGTCGTCATACTGGGTGATCGTAGAGCCCGTGTACTCGAAGTTGCCCTGCTCCCACTCAGCGATAGGGAAGATCGCTGAGAGGCCCTTCATCAGTTGTTGTATCTCACCAGGTGGCGCGGCGATCAGCAGGTCGTCCACGTGGGTGATCAAGGCGCCACGTAATTTGTTGGGATCGTCCCGTTCTTGCAAAAGAAAAAGACATGGGTCAAAATCATGGTGTGCCAAGCGGAGCGGGATGCCGTTGACGATGATGTCGAGATTCTTCAGCTCCCCAGCCAGCTTGTCCCACCAAAGCCTCGGACTGTTCGAGAGGCCGAAGACCCCTTTCACGATTTCCACCAAGGAGCCTGGTTCGACTCCAGGGAGCCCGCGTTTGGGAGGCTCAAAGTACAAGTTGCGCTTGGACTCAATGCCGTTGAGGAAAGCAGCCTCCACGTCTCCAGCAGCAAGTCGCCAGCCAAATTGGGCGGCCAAGAAAAGCAATGTGAACATCGATGTCTTGGAAGCCGTAGGGGCCTCAGTGTTGATCTCGCCTTTCTGCAGGTCAGGGTCCATATGACCTCCAATGCATAGTCTGGCTTTTGCTTTTGCCGGTATGGTTGGGTCCTCCCGGCGTTTTGCCACATTCTTGTCTCTGTAAGCGAAACGAGCTTTCAAGATCCTGTTGGCGGGGACCTTAGCTCGAAGAAGACCAGCATCTTCAGGAGGATGTACCCGAACTGCCTCATAGCGGAGGTGTTCATCCCATTGTTTCTTCTCAGCCTCGAGATAGAGGTACTTCTCACCTTCTGGGATTTCTTCCCACTTGACTTCCTTGTCGAGCTGCTTGATGGTGCTTCGAGGAGCTCGGCGTTCGACCACAAAGGCTTGGTTCACAGCATCATCCAGCGCGTCCTCGACATCACGTTCGGGGATAGCTTCAAGATCTTGTGCATTTTGTTGAGCAGGTGATATGCGGCCAGGTTGGTCATCACTAGGTTGAGGAACTGGCCTCTTCAGCATTCTCACTGTCCCTTTGGTTGTGACCCGACGCTCTGGAACCAGTTGTGTTTCAACCGCCCTTTTGTTGAGCGGGGGAGGGTCAGTCGCATCGGCGAAGACCTCATCATTGTCTTCGTCCTTGAGGTTCTGGACCACCCGCATCAGGTCATCTTTGAGAGCTTGGGTCTGAAAGGCCTGGCCAAGCTCCTCAGACTCTGCAGGACGTAGATGTTCGCCTGCGCAGAGACACAACGGCCCCCACGTGAGATCCAATAGGATTCACCTTCTTTTCCAATGACCACACCCGGCCCGATCCATTCACCTACATTCTGCCGTTGTCGAGCTTTACCTCCAGCCGTCTTGTTGACCCTGAAGACGTACACATAGTCACCCACCGAGAAAGGCCCAGGATATACTCGAGAGCGTCCAAGTAGAGCTCGTTTAGTTGCAGCATCGGCTTGTGACTCCAAGAAGGCTATGCGGGCAGCATAGCGAATCTGCTGTTTGCGACGCCAAAGGTCATCCTCTGTGCGTAGTTCTTCGAGCTGAAATAGCTTTTCATTCTCATCCAGCATGGCATCCCCAGTACGTGGTTCTGATCCGAAGAGCCATTGTGCCGGAGAGTATCCATGATGGCGGCGCAAGTTGTTCTTGGCTGCACAGGTCATCGCGAGTGCATAGTCAACCTCTCCGGATTTTGTCTGGGAATGTGCAACCGCTCGTTCCCATATAGCCCGGAACCACTGATTCTGTCTCTCGACAGCCCCATTTTGCCAATGAGCTTGTCCTGCAGTGTACCTTGATCGGATCCCCAGCATGTCGAGGCCGTCAGTGAACTCTTTCATCAGGCCTCGTTCTTCATCACAAGTCACCTGTAAAGGTGGGCCCGCCCATTGGACCCAATGATCCATGAAGTCTTGGAGGAGGTCAGCTGACTTGCGTCCACGGATTCTGCAAACCAAGTGATAGCCAGTGGCCACGTCCAAGATGGAGATGGCATCGATCTTGCCCCCGTCCACGTCGTAGAGGGCGATGGTGTCCACACATACCTCTTGGTTGAAGTCCAATGGGCGTACCACACGGCCAGGGCGTCGAGTGCCGGGGCCAGTCAGCCGAGAACAGGTCTCACATTTGATGGCCTGTGCTGCCTTCACTGCTAGATCTCCAGCACCGGCAAGACGTAGATGTCTACTCAAGTCGGCGTTGGAAGGGTGTCCCAAGTTTTGGTGGATCCTCTTGAGAGCCTTCGCAATGTGGTTGGGCACGCTGCTGGGCAGATGTATTCCTGCAGCTCCTTCTTTTCCAGGTAGAGCAGCACCAGGTTGTTGATCAGAATCAGGTTGGTGATCAGCACGTCGTTGGTCTTCAGAACGAGGTGGAACTTGAGCATCTCGAACGTGACTTTGATGTGGCGCGGGAGGACTCCTCGATGCGGAAGATGTAGACGAAGTAGTCCCCACAGGCATAGCTTCCCAAGTTTGCTCCTCACGATGATACCAAAGAGAGTGTGTCATCTTCTCATAGCCCTTGAAGATGGCCCTGCAAAATTCCTTGGTGTAGACTCCAGCAGGTCTGGTGTTTCTTCCTTGTGTGGCGGTATGTTCATGGCCACCACCACAGGTTAGACGTAAACCGTCCAACAGCAGACGATTCGATGCCACCACCCTAGTAGGCTTCCTGAGCCTACCGCCATCCGTGACGGCCCTCAGGTTATAGCGACACATGTCGAAGGTGGCCTGGGACATCAAAGGTGAATTGATGAGAGGTTCCAAAGCTGAATCCTCCCACATCCCAGAGTCGCGAGGGTGTTCAAAAGCAACCTCACGACCGGCATCAAGCTGTTCCCAAGCGCAGTCCAGGGTGAACTTCATAAGCTTCCGTTGTTTGGCTTGTTCACGCCGAAGTTGTTGTCGCCGATGGGCATAGTTCAATCGTTGCCAAGGTGACCATTTTGTGCAAGGTAAAGCCACCCAAAGAAGTCGGGGCTTCATCCTCTGGATGTCCTCCAGGACAGACACTTGCTGGCGCCTGTCGAACAGATCGTGTCCGTAGACGATGTCTCGCGGCTCCAGGACATTGTATCCTTTGGCTGCGAAGTAGCCCGTCAAATGGGCCGACCCCGCAAAGAGTTCCAGCAAGGAGACCGTCTCCTCTTGCGGTCGGTGACCAGAGACAGCCAGATAGGCATCGTGTAGTGGCTCCACCACCACTTCCTTGAGCTCTTCGGCCACTGGAGATGCCAATGCCACCAAGGTGGTGCACAGGCAAGTCAAAGCTCGTTGAGCCCACCCCGTGACCCTCTTCCGTGATGCCCTCTTCATCCTCTTGGCCGGCAAGTTGCGGACCACGTCATAGTCCGAGGGGTAGTTGAGGTTCACCTTGGGCAAGCCGTCGTTGTCGATGTCATACTCGTCAGCCTCGATGGTGTCCGGGTCATAGAGCTCGACGATGTCCTTCTCCGGGAGGTCCTCCTCTGCAGAGTCGTTGGTAGCCACCCAAAGCGCTTCGTGTCTCATCGATCTCCTCATCTCCCTCAGCTCATCAACCTTCTGCCAGTAGGCCTTCTTCTTCAGTTTGCTTTTGGAGGGGCTGCCTTGGCCTTGGCCTCCTGCTTGTCCTCGGTCTCCTTGATCTGTCGTAGGATCGCCAACCTCGCCTCCATGTCCTTGATGCGGTCTTCCGTCGCCCATTCCACCTCCGAGAACTCGCTCGATTCCTCCATCTTCAAGGGTCTCGTCCTTGAAGTCCTTGACTGTTTCGACGACGTCTCCTCTTTCATTGGCATGTTGACCTTCGGCACCGGGTATGCTGCCTTGGGCAGCGGCACAACTGCTCCCACCTCGGGTGCCGATGGCCTTGAACCAGTTCCAGGCATGGTGGAGCGGGCTTGTGCCCACCTGGCCAGGCGTGCCAAATCCAAGGAGTGCTGAGGATTGGCAGCCACCTCTTCCATCGCCCACTCCAAGTACTTCTCGTTGACCTCCTTGTAGAGATAGCCCTTGTACATCCCGAAGCAGACCACCTCGTCCCCTGTTGGGGGTGCGTTCTCCCTCAAGAGCTTCATCAGGAGCCCCCGGGTCAGCTTGCTGTCCGGCATGGCGATCCCTTCGGCGGCACACTTGTCCTTCAGCTCGTCCACGGTGAGCCGAGTGAGGCCCTTCACCTTCGGGTTGGGAGTTCCCTGAGTCTCTTGATGCTCGATCAGAGTTGCCCTCAGTTCGGGCACTGTCCATTCCGCCCTCACCGAGATCCCCAGCTTCTCGAGGGCAGTCACCAACTCCTCTCGCTTCATCTTCCATAGCGATGGGGTTGTTGCCCTCGTGGACATGGGATGCCGTAGAAGACAAGGAGCGTGGGGCGGCTTGAGCTTTCCGTTGAAAACGGCTGCGGCCAATCCAAAGAAATTCAGCTCGTGGTCCATGATCTTCTCTCCAAGAATGTTCGACCACAATATGATGGCATTTTGCATGACATGGTATGCAAGTCGATTCTCGGCAGGTTCCCAATCTTTGCAACAAAAGGTCTCGAAGTTCAGTTTGTGATGTTTGCCAATTGGAAGGGTCAAATAATGTTCTCCGTGGTGTGACATGGATACGGTACATGTACTCTTCGGTCTCAATCCAAAAGTCACGAGAAGGCGGTTGACCATTCCACCAATGCATGAAAGTCTCAACAGGCAAAACATCTCTACATAGAAATTCTTGTACCTGAAATTTCACCTTTGGATAGAAAAGCATCCCAATACCCTCTGAAGCTGCACTCGCCATGTATGCTTCACGGCGCTCAGATCGTACTGGAATGTGAATTTCTGTCACACTCCAGTCCACCAGGTCAGGCCAAGCAGGTGGCTGGCCAGAAAAGGAAACAGCTTCAGCGCAAGCATGGCCTGAAGCAGTAAAACTCAAAGCTACGTCCTCAAGATCTAAGCTGGTGAAGTTGGCCTCATTGGTTTCCAACTTGAACTGCATCCCCAAGGCAGCCAAGACCGGGCGGCTCAGCAAGAGCGGCACGTGGGTTGCCACAATGGCGACTTTCACCGCAAACCATTTGCCCTGAAGGCAAAGAAAGCAGACCATCGCCCTGGTCGAAGGGTAAACCTTGGGGCCCCCAAACTTGAAGGTCTCGTTCTGGCGCATGACAAAGTACGGCACACCGCACTGATCGGCCTTCTTCATATAGGCCTTCACCCACTCCGGACCAGCCAGTGTTCGGCTGCAAGCGCAGTCAACAATCACCTCCAGGTCGGCCATCTGACCATTGGTGTAGTAGGCGATGTGGGTGGTGTGCGGTGCAGTCGTTGATGCCTGCTTGTTCTTTGGACAAATGGGGTCCTTATGCCAGTGCCCCTTCTTGCCGCAGGCACTGCAGTAAGAACGTGCCTTCGCTTTCTGCAGAGACTCCTCACGAGACTGTGGGCTGATGGTGCCCCTGGCCTTAAGCATGCTACTGTACTTTGCCTTGGCATTCTGAAAAGCGACGTACGCCTCATGAGTCTCGTCATCGTCAACCTCCGTAGTCTCCTCAAGGTCGTAGAGCTCGAGGTCTTCCGGGTCCTCTTCATCGTCCGGGGTGTCCTCGATCTCAGCCACATAGACCTGGTTCTTCTTGGTGTCGACCTTCCGCTGTTCCCAGATTCTCCGGTTCATCCGGTCTTGAACCACTGCTGCCTCCTGGAGGCGGATCAGCTCGTACTGGTTCCCCACAGAGGAGAGAAGGTTGAGCTCCGCAGCGTTGTCCATCCTCAACTTGTCGATGTACCACCAAGCGCAACATACGCTTGGCAGCACGCATCCAACCTCCTTCAATTTGCTGATGTGCCTGTCGAACTCCATGTTGAAGTCCCGGATATCCTGAGCATGGCCACGCTTGTAGTGCTTGAAGAAGTCGCTCATGTACTTGCCGGCCTTCACGATCTCCTTGTCCAGGTAGTGCTCCGTGATCCACTGCATAAAGACGTCAACGCCGTCGGGGGAGTCCAAGGCCGCAAGGTCGATCTCCTCGGCGTCTCTCTAAGCCTTACCAGACAAGCCGTTGTACAAGACCAGAGCTTGCTTGTGAGGCTTGAGACGTGTCACTCGTCTCCAGGCCTGCACCTTCCGCAAGTAGCTCTTGGCCTTGCACCCATCTCGATCGTCTTCTCCTGAAAACTCTGGCACCGCTATCTTGTCAGTGCCCCCACCTCGCTCATCCAAGACCTCATCTGATCGGCCTGAAGACCATGGGTCTCGCCATCTGGTCCACGGGTCCTCCCATGTCGTTGCCGTAGAGCTCGACCACCATGAAGTTCGCTGTCTCGTCCCAGCTTGTTGTTCAGCTCCATCAGAAGCCTCATACACAGTGGGCGTAGATGATGCCATTGCCCTCGTCGGCCACTGGCCAGCATTCCAAAGACGCCAGTCGTCTTCGCTCCACCTCTGTCCTGAGCTGGGTTGTTCATCCTGAGAAACAGTGGACCCTCCACTGGCTTCATCAACCCCGTCAGAAGTATCCCCAGGAGCGGCAGCCACCGGAGCTGACATCATCCAAACCCTCTAGTGCCCCAACGGCGACGTCGCCTTTGGCCCTATCCACAGACCAGACACAGCAGGCTATGGCTGATCTTTGCTGGTGTTTTACAAAAGCCCACCAGAAGGCTCCGCTACCAATGTAAACACAACAAGTAGGGGCACTACAACCAGTCACAAGCGAAACTCCCTTTTCTCAAGTTGGGACAACTCGTGAGCCTTCATATGGCGGGTGCAAGTCCAATGGGGTCAAATTGACAGTTACTGTTTAAGTTCAATGATGCGGATTATATTTGAACCTTGGCCGGAAAATTTGACCAATTGAAATGAGGCCCATGTTAATGGAGCTAGAATGCATCAACTGCACCTATCACAATTTGACTTAGGAGATAAACTGTTAAAATACGTTTGAGAATTTTAAAATGTAAAATTAACGGATGTGTTCAATGACTGAGGTGGGTGAGCGTTTTCAAAAGATTCCAGTCCTGCTCTTTCAAGTCGTTGCCAATGAGGATGGCGTCAATGATCTCGGCTAAGTACTTCATCTGCGGATTGTCCATGAAATCCTTCATCGCATCGCGGCCTCATCATGACAAGACGGCAAAGTACCCAACTTGGAAATATGACGGAAGTGATCAATAAATTAACGATATTAAAAGTAATCCAAAGCCCAGGCACGTTTTTTCAATCTAGTCTTTGTCCAGACTCTCATGCCCCGAATGTCTTCAGGCGATTGTTGATAGGACCTTCCCAAAGTAGCATCGAGGTCAGCCATCCTCAAAACCCTTGAGCCACAAACTGCAACAAAAACAATCAAAGCAAACTCCAAGTCCAAGTTTGATGTGACAGGAACGAAATTTTATCCTCTGCCCAGCTGCATGCGCACCAAACCGCACTAACACCACCTTGTTGTTGGATATGTTGCTTCATAATGCACTTTCATCGGAGGCCTACCCGGCCTAACCAAATTAGCTTGAAAAAACATGGCAAACAATTTTAATTAGAGACACGTGAATTCAGCAATGCAGGGGTGATGGTTGGTTGACTGGTTTGGTAAGCCCCGCAAGGCCCTGCAAAGTTGCAGGACCTTGCTGGGCTATGCCAACCGGACGACCTGCCAACCATGCAAGGATAAATCGCATCACACTTTTTCTGTCTCTTCGGGCGGCAACACTCTTACAGTCAGGTCAGCTCGTGACTCATGCCCACACTGCCATCCTTTCATGCGCGGGGCTTTCAATTTTGTAGACAGCATCTGGAAGATGGCCGGGCGGTGGAGTGAATTCCCACTGATCCTCAAAACTAGGGACCAGCCCTGCCGCAACCAAGGCCCTCCCAGTAATCCTCATGACCAGGCTGATGCTAAAGCCATCGCCCAGCGTAGCACCGATGTCGCTTTTCGAAAAGTTTTGGAGCAAGTCATCAATCATAGGTTTGGGCCATCCTTGGAGAGCAGCGACTTCCCAAAGATTCATCCAACGTTTCAGCGACATGAGGTAATGCCCATTGTTACCTGCCCTTGCCTTTGTCAAACAAGGTGACACATTCAACATGACCGACAAGAAGCCCTTGCCGGCATGGGCATCGCAAATCAGCATTGCATTGCGATTGGTATAATCAGCCTCCTGGAACTTTTCCTTGGCAATCTTCCAAGCCGCTGCAATGTTTTCCTTGATGCCAGGACTCACATTTTCCTCCTGAGAAACGTTGTTCACCAAAAACCTGTCGAAAGAATGGCAAGGGAGGGAAGTCGGCCAAACGAAGGGTGCCTGCAAATGGTTCTTGAGCACAGCAACCACAAAGACCCGCGGTCTGTGGTGGGGGATGGCTCCATGAGTGCAAGTGTCAAGGACCCTGGCTTTGACTGAGTAGCCTGCTGAGCGTAGCACTTCAACCAAGGCATCAAGCACAGGCCGGTTGTGTTTGTTGACCAGGCCCTTCACATTCTCGAAAAATGCCACGCGTGGCATCTGGTCAACACGTAGTCGACACTGTGGAGCAGCACGCTTCCACGAGGGTCAGATAGACCACCACCTTTTCCTGCTGTGGAAAACGCAGGGCAAGGCGCCCCAGACATGTAAATGTCGCATCTTGGCGCGACAGTATTGTCTCTGAGAGTGACGTCGTGATAGACCACTTCCTTGGTTGAGCCCGTATAAAAAAGCAGCAATTGATGCATCATGTGTTCAAAACAAGTTGCAACCAAGCTTCTGGAGTATCGCCGAAGTGTGCATGAACTTGCATGGCCATTTTCCTTCTTGTCTGGCAAATGTCCTTCAATTTGACAAGCCAAGACCAAAAATGACCGCTGAAAATTTGCAAGGACACATCAAACACCAAAACTAAAACTTCAACTGATATGATAAACAATTCAACCCAAGTATCTGATATGAAAGCCGTCTGCAACTTCACCGATGCTCCAAGCGCGAACTTGAGGGCAACGAAGTCCGAACTGAGACCTGTGCAGTCTGAGCCAAGCTTGATAACCTGGCCTGAGCCGGCTCTCCGTCCAGCATTTGGTACCTTCTCCGCCCGTTCTTTCAATGACTTGATGAACTCCTGGGCGAATTTCCTGGGCGAGCAGCTGACCACAAACATTCAACTTATGAATTGGGATACGCACCGCCACCAAACTCAATTATCATGCAAATAATCCAAATTCAACATATATGATAGTTACATTACCTCACAGTTTGGATTCATTATCTTTTCCTTTAAAGTGAAAATAGCTTGAAGTAACATGCTTGACACCAGCTAAAAGTTTATACGTGAACCAAGCAAGTGTCTTCTGCGCCTCTGCGCTGGGCTCTTTTTTGGCTTTCTTATCTGATTTCGGCGCAGTCTTCGGCGATTTCTCTGCTGCTCTGTTGGAAGCAGGCCTCTTCAAACAATTCTTCTGGACTGGAGGCCCACGCTTTGAACTTGATGCAGGCTCAGGTTTGGTGACCTTCCTCTTCCGCTCAGGTTTGTCGACCTTCTTCGCAGGTTTGTCGACCTTCTTCGCAGGTTTGTCGACCTTCTTCGCATCACACTCGGCCCAGTCAAAGTCCAAATCCATTTTGAATTAAATACTCTTGAGAGTAAACTACGGGCAGATCCAAATCATTGGAGGAAACTTACATGCAGGGCAGCTACAGGATTTCCATCAGATCTTATAAGTCAAAACTGAAGCCCGCCTCCACCTTTTCTTTTTCCCCAGCGATCGAATCCGGTGCCTACTTGACAAAATGGCAATCGCCCAGCTGAGTCATCAAAAGCCAAGCGCCGCTCAAACAGGCTAAGGCTAAGGCTAAATTGGCCAGGTCAGCAATGAAGAAATCAACGAAAAATATTATACGGGCTATTTATCTAAATTGCTGAAATGGCAGTTCAACTTTAAATGCTACAGCATGTTAATAAAGTGTATGGGGGAAGCAGTTCAAGTCGGCCAATTGGTATCCCATCATCGAATTGCAGCTCTATTCACTTCTTCTCAGTCTCCGAAGCAGAATCTGAATCTTCGAGCAACTCTCCGTCGTCTTTCTTGTTCTTGTTCTTGTTCTTGGGCTTCTTGGGTGGCTTGGGCTGAATCTTGGGATCGGGTTCACTCTTGCGTTTTTTCTCCTCAGCTGTGGCAGAGTCTGAAGCAGCAGCCCACTCAGGGCTGTAGTAAGTCGATCCTTCAGACCTCATCTGCATCTTGACAAATTCCACCAACTGCGCCTTGAGCAAGGAGCAATGTTGGTCCGTCATTGCCAATCCCAAGTATGGCACACGGCCAAGCAAACATGCCCTTGCAAGATCTCCACATCCCGGAGTCAGATCCAGGCAACCGCGGATCTCATATGTCCCAATAGTATCTGAGTACAGGACTTCGGGGAGGTGATGGTAAAAGGCTGGTTCGAAGCTGTCGTCAGATCTCTCCTCCTCCTTGCCATCGTCAACTGCAGCATCTGAACCGCCCATCATCTTGGCCCCGTACATGTCTTTCCTTTTTTTGGCAGATAAGCTTCAAAAAGAAATGCTTTAATTCAAAGATAACGTGGAATCAATGATCAATGACAAAATGAAACGACGGTGCCCCCATTGAATGACTCTGCGAAAAGACCAGAAAGTTATCATATGATTTCCATTGCCAAAGGTCTTCTGCCCATAGGTCATTGTCCATTCATCTGCCTGGCTTCCCAGGCCGATCCATCCGATGCAATTGCCACGGTTGGTCCCGGGGTACTTGGTGTGCTTTCGTTCCGGAAGCCAAGACGCCATGGACTCTGTGGACACAACATGCCAGCGTTGAATTTGGTTGGTCATTCCACGATTGAGCTTTCTTTTAGCTTCAACTGACTCCTGACTGACATGATCAAGCAACGACCAAAATCTTTACAATTAAGCATGAATTAGAAGAGTAAAGCATACTGGTAAGTCATTAGTTTGCATTTGACACAATCAAAACTTTTATGGGGATCACAGAGCTGTCCTGACTCAAGCAAAGGGTGATCTCAGAGACTTCCAGATAGTGAGCAAGAGCCGCACCTTTGGCGTCCTTCGTCTTGAATGGGGACATCAAGACGTCAATCATGTTGCGACCTCCATCATTCAAAATAATGAAATCTCCATCCAACGGTTTGTCATAGTGGTCCGGGCCCACCTTTTGGTTGGGAGAGCCGCCCCTTCCCTTGATCGCCCCGTGGACCAACTTCTTCAGAAGGGCTGAAGTGAGAGCAGGCGATCTTCTGTCCGGTCTTTTCGCGGCTTCTGCGAAAAGCTGGACGTCAAAGTGGATCATGATGCAACTCTTGCCCTGAACACCTTGGAACTTGCCAGACAGCTGGCTCTCTTCAACCACCCGAGCAACACCTGCCAAAGTTGGAGGCTCAGCGACAAGCGAAACATAGATCTGCACTTGTTGCGCAGCCGTCGCAGTGTAGTGCCTAACTTCGGTCCAGTCTAAGACAACCGGTAAAACAAAGCCAAGTTAGTTAATGATTTGGAGGTATGTTTAAATGACTTTCTTTCATTGGACCTTAATAAATGGTCGATTGCCATGGGTTTGTCTCCTGATTTGCCTACTATTATTTTCAGCAACAAAGCATCAAACTAATTGCAGGGCCAGGCGCTGCGGGCTCCCCCTCTGGTACTTTGAAGGTTCAGCTTGGACTGAGCCAAGGGCTATCTTCTTGCACTCGTCCGTTTCCTCCTCCATCTCCTGGTCCTTTTGCTTGCTGTCAAGAGCTCGTTCAGCTGCGATCTCATTGTCTTTCGTGGTAACCGCGGCCTTCCATCGGAGGCTGAATGTTTCAATCTCCAACAGTTCCAATGGGCTCGCGCCCTTGCCTTTCCGCAGCAAAGCGATCATAGGACCATTCAAAGTTGTTGTGTAGAGGATGTCCTCCACCAGCTTCAAGCAAGCAATGCTGCTACATTTGAGGGTGCCCATCCATTTGTTGTCGGCCTCGCTGTTACCAGCCTTCCCGGGAGTGACGTAGGCCCGGTAATCTGCAACGGTCAAAATTTTTTGCTCGATCAGCTTCAAGTCAGGTACGTGAAACTGGCTGCGTGGCATCTCAACCTGCAGGACGGATTAAATGGTGGTAAAACCACGACGATCAACTAAAAAACCAAAATATCTACATTTTTTTTACACCCCCCGGCCTGGAGGAAATGCTTGACTGTTTGGAGCTTGAGCTTCAACAGTTCAACCAATGATGCGTTGGTGCCACTTCCCTGCAGGTAGGATTTGCTGATGGTTTCCCGATCGATCTGCCCATTCAGCACCATGTCGGTGATCACTTCCATGATCCATTGCCTGATGGACACTGACATACGCAACACAATGACTTGCTAAAACTACGTTAAAATGTTTACATGTTGAAAAATTATGCCCGAATTGTCATGGCTGAAACCTCCATCCACGTGCCCCTGCCTGGTTGGCGTTGATTCTGACTTCTCAATGATCACTCGCATTTTCTGAAGTGAATTCAGTGGGGAGGACAGGCCATACTTCTCTTCCAAGATGTCCAAGCAAGCGTTGCACACTGGATCACTTAGCATCTTCTCAAACACAAAAATGCAATCCTTCACGCAGCCATCCGCCATGTCTGTCCGTTTGCTTGAGACCGCCATGTCACTCTGGTGCAAGGCAAACATGTCGCTCAAATCTTTGATTGACAAGATTTCGCCAGACTCAGCTTCCTTCTGTGCTTTGAGAGATGCAACTTCGTAGGCGAGTTGCCTTGCGGTTCGGCGACAGGCCTCATAGTTTGCAACCACTTGCTGGCGCTTTTTGAAAGCTTGCCAAAAAAGCTGGTCCGGGCCGCCATCCATGAGAGTGATCATCACGGGACAAGACAAAATCATGGTGCGCCATTGATCCAAAACAGCATCGTCAACCTGACGGATCAAACGTAAAAAAAGCAAACTGACTGACGAAAAATAACAAAACTTCAAATCATTTAACCACCGGCCTTGCCAGAATCGATTGCAGCAGCAAGAGTGAAGAGTATGCAGTGATGCATTTCTTCCGGGGACACAGGGCGCCAATTGCCCTTCAAAGCGTGAAAGTCGGTGTCAGGGGCATCCACACCCACACAAAAGCTGTCAGCCAAATGTGCTGGCTTGTAGCCGGGAAACGCAAATGCACCCAATTCCTGGACCCGCTTCTTGGACAGTGGCACGGTCGGCGTTGGGCTGCCAAAAGGGTCTAACCAAAACAGGTTAATGGCGCTTCTGTAAGCGCCTTCCTTCTGCAGTGCGATCTTCGCTTCCTGCTGGTTGAACACTGCCTCGTCGCAAACGTTGATACTTTGACATTTGACATGGATCCTCATGCTTGGTTAGTGGTTTATTTACATCAACCTTTCAAAGACACGTCACCAACAGTGGAACTGACGTTACCAAAAATCAACTTCTAGCCCAACAGCGGAAGAATATTCAGATGACAAGTTTGGAAATAATTTCTTGTTCAATGATCACCCATCGCAAAATCTATAGTCATTGACAATTGAAAAATAACTTTGACTTTAAAATTTAACATTTATTTACATCGCTGAGTGATGACCTGCACGCCCGACGAAGCGCCAACTCCATCAGTGATGGCGAGCGGTTCGGCAACCCGGATGTCGGAGAACTTCGGGCATTTCAAAATGGTGTTGACGGCCTCCATCAGTGACTCATAGTAGCCCTGGTTCTTTTGGGCATCAGCGGGCATGTTGAGATTGGTCAAAGCAGGCTGCCCATTGCCATGCATGCCGCCTGCAGCAGCTGCCTGGGGTATGCCAGCCTTTTTGGCTTGACTTCTCTGCATCTTTGCCTCTGTCATTGCCTGACTGACGCGCGCACAAAAGACTTATCACCCTATATAATGGATGTTGTTTTTTTCAAAACAGGCGAGCATGGATTAATCAAAACACCAACGGTTTTTTAAGTTCCATCCCAAGCGCCTTCACCTGTGCTTCCTTTGCCTGGGCTGCTGACTCCTCCGCTTCTTTTTTGGTCTTCCCTGCTCCGACAAGCTGCGCAACCAAAGCTTTCTCTTCGTCGTCCACCTGTTTCTGCTCGGACTTGTTCAGCTTCCACTTGCTGTAGTGATCCCGCATGATCAGCACACTACTGCTAAGCTAAGACGAAGACAGCAGCAACGACAATTGACCCTTGATGTGGAAAAGCTGCAATGAAAGATTTGTTGAAGGCTCTGGAGTTCCAAAACATTCCAAGGTACCAAACTTAAAACTGTGACTGGTGTCTCTGATAAAATATTAGATTTAATTTATCTTCAGTTTTTGAATCCAAGGTTCTAATATCATACATCCACACATGAATCTGAATCGGTGGCAGCTGCCTCTCACTGTTTTCAACCCGAAGATGTTCAGCTTCACTCCATCGGTTTCAGACCTGGCACGAAAGCAACGTCAATAATATGACAAGACGATAAAATGACATCCAATTATACCCGAACAACAGCGAAAAATAGCTATTATTCATCTTTAAAAAAATATTGAGCCTAGGATTGAATTCAAAGTACTTAACTATCATCAGTTCTTATGATCAAACTGCCTTGGCAGTCAAAGCAGTTATTACAACGAATGATGTGACAGTCTTCAAGGCAAAACATATTTTTTCAAAAGCAGTGACGCATCAACAAAAAAACAAACCCTCTGAAAAGTTTCCCGGCGAGGGGACCCCCCCCCGTTGGGGGGGGGCCCTCGCCAGGCGAACCTGGCTTCGTCTGGCGAGGGGTACCCCCCCCCGTCAGACCCGTGTGGCGAGAGGACCTCCTCCCGTTACGGGCTCGTAACGGGAGGTGGTCCCCTCGCCAGACGAAGCTGGGTTCGCCTGGCGAGGGCCCCCCCCTAACGGGGGGGGGGTCCCCTCGCCGGACGCCAATGCCGTAAATGAAGCTGGCTTCATCTGGCGAGAGACCGCTGTATAGCGGTTGCGCTTTGGACCGCTGTATAGCGGTTGCGCTTTGGACCGCTGTATAGCGGTTGCGCTTTGGACCGCTGTATAGCGGTTGCGCTTTCAACATTTAAAGACCAATGCGTTTTGATTCCAAAATTAACTAACATGAGTAAAGATGAAATTCAATTTCATCAACTCAATTTGACATGGCACAAGCTGACCGAAACATTGAAAATTTGGCTTAAATCAGCACCCCCCCGGGCCTCAATCCAGATTGAATCTGCAGGCAGGCTTGAGAATGGGCAATGTCCTGGAGCAATTGGCATTTCACGCGCTTGACAACTATGGTCTTGATAATCGGCAAGTGAGTAACTCAGTATAAAAATGTCTTTTGCCCCCCTATGCCGATTCGGATTGCTGGTTCCGGATCGTCATTGAACTTCTAGATTTGAACAGTAACCTCTGGCTCTTCTGGCCCAGGTTTGATCTTGCAAAAAGTCACAGCTCCAGGGGTTGGTCTCCACGCTATTGGTTTGTCGTACTTCCTGACGTCCCTGATCATCCATGCGTACATGTTCTTGTACCCGTTGATCACATCGGGCATATTTCCCTTGTCAAAGCCGACCTTCTTTGTATTCTTTGCGTTCAGGAAAAAAAATCACATGCTTCTCAGAGTTGGACGCCGGCTGCCACACACCGCCACGCTTGGATCCAACTCGCAAGCATCCACTCAGCCGGATTTCCCCCAGCAAAACATTTGCCTTGCTGCATGCGACGGCGACGATTTCTCCTTTCTTGTTGGCCGGCAGGGGGTAGGACCGCAGCTCCCAACTTTTACCCTCATCGAAAATCTTTTCGCACCACGGCTTGCGTATGAACAACGCGTACTGGACCATGGCAGCTATAGGCCTTCAGGTCAAGCTGGCTATTTTACTTGGGAGAAACAGCTGCCCAGTGTGTTGAGAATTTCGGCTTAAACATGCAACAACAATCGACTGACAATAGGTTAGACTTCATCTCAATTCTTTGACCGACTCCAGCTTACTAGACTCTTGGATCAAATCCGCTGAGGCTTGGCAAATAATCCGTCAATTATTTTATGCATCAATTTGCCAAACCCGGCAAGGCCCAGCTACATAGCTGGGCCCTGCATGGGCCTGGTAAACTGATGGTAAGTTGACAAACAATCCTTCAATTTGATACATCGATTTGCCAAGCCCGGCGAGGCCCAGCTACGTAGCTGGGCCTTGCATGGGCCTGGTATATTGATGGCAAATTGATCATCGTCGATCCATCATGTTAATACATCGATTTGCCAAACCCGGCGAGGCCCAGCTACGCAGCTGGGCCTTGCATGGGCCTGGTAAATGGATGGTAAGTTGATCATCGATCCATCAAGTTAATACATCGATTTGCCAAAACCCGGCGAGGCCCAGCTACGTAGCTGGACCTTGCATGGGCTGGGTTTAAATTATAGCATTGATTTACCAAGCCATTCAGATGTCAAGTTGAAGGGGCGGGCGGCGCTCTTTTTTCCCATGACCAACCCCTTCATGGCAGTAGCGAAGGTTCACCCTCTGAACACCCCGGACGTGTGCAAGTCCATCCGAGAAATTTTATCTAGGAAGGAAGCCTTGCACAAAAGACTCGGATCATGTTGGCACTCAGCTTTGGTCGCCAAGATAAAACTAGCATCTTGCCTATTCTTCGCGAGCTTCCACTGGCTGAACTTCACAGGCTTGTTCAGCAAAGACCTGACATTTTTCTCAAACTCATTGTGTTGGTTCTTGAACGCAGCTGTGAAGAACAAGGTTCGAGGGGTCCCGCAGGCTTTCTTGAATTTCACTTTGAATCCTTGCTGGCCATTGAACAGGCAGGCGTCCATGACAATCAAACCAAGTCCAGCCGCAAATAGCCTGGCCCTTTCAGGCATGTTGGCGGCATCCTTGACGATCAATGCATCTGCATTTGTTCGTTCCTGGGTTTTTGTGATGTTTAACTGTTGCAGTGCTACGTCCAACTTGTCTTCTTGAATGTCTGAAGCTACCCAAGCAGTCTTGCCGCTCAGATGCTCCCACTCCAAGGGGCCATGCATCTTGTCAGCAAAAGATCTTTGCACCTTGCCCTCACGCACCAGCAATTTGTCTCGCTCCTTTTCTTTGGCAAGCGTTGTTTCGACCGCTTCCTGATCCACCTCAGACTCCTGGAGTAAGCCCTCTTGGTAGGCTGAGACCATGTGCTCTCTTTGTTTCTTTTTTTGAAATTCGAACTCCTTCTCGTGGGCCTCAGCCCAAAGTTCATGGCTGGGATCTTCATCCAAATTGAAGGAAAGGCTTTGATCCCAATCTTTCTCCACTGCATTGGCCACACTGTCCCTCCTTGCTCTTTTGAACGCTGCCTCCGTGCTTGATGGGTCCTCATTCTTCTTGGGGCGCTTGATGTCTTTGTCCATGCGTTCGCTCTTTCGTTTGCGACATGCGCCTGACAGGGTTGAAGTAAATTTGCATGTTTCATGATGGTCATCCCCACTGAAATCAACAAACATAGTCCCCAACTTATGCGCCTGGCATACATTTAATGTACAACTGCTGCGTTTCTCGTAGAATCACTTCGAGCTCTGCAGGAGTGAAGTTACTAAGCATCAGTTTCAGTGCCCGCTCTTCAAAAACATCACTGGCAGGCGTCTGTCCAAATGCATTCTTGCGCTCACCTCTAGCGAAGTTCTGCTCCACGCCACTTGTGCTTGCCTGCCATGCAAGATAGCGATGCATCACCGGAGCAATGTCAGCTGTTGGGTAGGACTCCTGGCAAGTCAAAATGATAAGTAGGAAACTCCAGCGCAAAAAACTTCAACATTGAAATTTGGTGGCAGCTGAGCAGTCCTGCAAAGAATTTCGCGACTGAGTAGCTGCTATAGCTTTCATGGTCGCTGTCCAAGCCTCTCGGGTTCCACCATTGATGTCTCTGCATCGCTTTTCTGCCAGGGGGCGAAGGCGGTGTAGCTGCTCCTGGAAGCCGCCCGAGCTCACCTCAAAGAACTTGGCCAAACGCTCTACACTGCTGTCAGCCGAGCTCTGGAAGAAGGTGTCTGCTTTGGACACCCTTTTCAAAGAGAACACCTCAGCCACTGCCAGCCAGAATTTGAAAATTTCGAAACATGTAAAGAACCAAACGCCGAAAATTAATAGGTGCAAATGGCGCAATTGATCGATGGGTAGTAATAAAAAATTCATTATATAATTCATCATCCATTTTCTCGCAAAGGTGCTCCAAAAGCAGAGAAAATTCCATAATGCGGAAATTCTGTGCGAAGAACTTCCAAAGCCATCCGAACCCACACCTCCATGTTCTTGAAGCATTGTTCGATTGACTCAGCCTGACACGGCCCCAAGCGGCGGGCAACACCACAAGCGAAAAACTTCAGCTTCCCCTCCGCAAGCAGGTCCATCACAAGCTTCGTGTAACCTGTTGTCGTCATGATAGCCCTCTGCACAATCAGCATTTGAATCCGATCAGCAAAACTCTGCACGTAGTTGCCAATTTCAGCGCTGTCGCACTCCTCATTGTCAACCTGCCTGATGAGCAGCAGGCTTTCATCCATGACATCAGCAAGCATGCCAAGCTGCACCAATTCTTGGGCTGTTAGATTCTCCAGCCAAGTTTGCAGCGCTGAGCCTGTTTGATCCTTCCTGGCCTGGCAGATCCGTTGCACGGTGGCTAGCACAGCGGGGAGGTTGCTCAAGAGTCGGCACAGTGGCGCGGTGTGGGACTCGAACCTGTGTTTGGCCTTGGATTGTCAATGTTAAATCTCACTTTGCATGTCAGCTCCAAACTTAAAAACACGTCAATGGTAGTAAGAAGATGTAAGAAGGCCGACATATCTAACTTCTCATTCATCATTCCTAAAACGCAGTTGACTTGACACCGAACAAGATGATGAACAAGTTTTTTTAGTACCGCACCAAAAAATGCATCCACGAGGCTGACTTCAAGTTGTGGCAGTGGACATTCCCGTTCACCAGCTTGGCCACCTCATCATCAAACCATTGCCTGAAGATGAACGAACCATCTATGATTCTCACTGGCGAATTTGCGCCCAAGACATGTTCTGCCATCAGCGCGGACAAATGGTCGGTGGCTCTGCAAGGCCTTTGAATCACGCGGCGAAATGCATGAGCGTGATCTCTTGCAACCAGCTTCAGGCATGGAAGTAGGACCTCTGCACCTGGTCCTTCGATGTTTGGGTCTCTTGCTCCCCTCGTCACATTGCTGGCCAGCAACTCGTTGGCTGCCGCGTCTGTCAAAACGATTTCAACCCTTTTCCTCACTTTGTCAAAAAGACCTTCGTTGATTTCAGGCTTGGGACCAGCATAATGCCTCGGAGGATCATTGTATTTGGTGCAGAAGCGTCGCAACACTTCCCTTGTTGCGCGTGCCTTGGTGCGTTGAATCCGGGCCCAAAAAAAAACGTTATATGTTTCAAAACATATTGTCATAACATTTCTTTACGAGAAAATAACATATAAAAGCAGACGGGCGGCGATGTCACCCCCGGTGTCTCCGAATCCTCGAACCATTCCCAAAATGCCGAAGCGGGTGTCGTATCTTTCCTTATCACAGTGCAGACGCATCTCAAAAAAAGACATCAGGTTGGCGTTCAAACATGGCTTATCATATCCTATCATTATCAAATTAGATTTAAGTCAGACGCCGAAAAACAAAGATAGCCCAAGCATCAGTGCAGCCGCCAAAACGACAAAGCAATCGCTGTCGACGGCCATCCCTGGTCAGGCTGATGGACGCGCACTTGTCCAAAAAGTTGCGGTCCAGCTCTGTCACAACCTCGTGGAGGCACCATGCCATCAGCGAAGCCTTGTCTGAGCTTTGGCCTTTGAAGTCCGCGCAACCTGACAGACAGGTGCATGTAAATCCAAAAGGTGGAAACATTTGGAAGCCAAAGAAAAAAAACCAGGGGTAAACCTGCGTCGTATTAGATTAAAAACAAAGAAACCAAAGTCTAATCTAATTGATTTTGAAGCGCTTCTCATGGACGAGCCAGATTGCAGCTTCTTCAGGAGGCTCTCAAATTCTTCCAGTGGTGGGGCGCCGGGAAATTCGGCCCCAATTCCAAGCATCATCTTGACCGCATCAATATGACTCTTGGACTCTTGGTGCTTTTGCCAGAAGCAAGCCCGGAATTTGGGCACCAGACCAGCCTGAGCTAAGCCCCACTCGGTTCCAGTGTTGGCTTTGCTGCAGGGAAGGCACCCGCAACCAGATTTGGCACCAAAGACCCAAGGCTGCTTTGCAAGTTGTTGGGCTGCTGCAGTCCGGGGCTTGACGCCTTCGGGCAAACAGTTGCCAATCAGAAACCTGTTTTGCCACCCTTTCCCATTTCTTTGCCATTTCTTGACAAACACCTCGCGCATCTCCTGTTTACTCTCCTGGTCAATGATGTCGGGCGGTTCCGACTTGGTCTGCTTCGTTGGGGTTTCCACTGCCGAGCCCCCGTGAAAGCTGCAGGCTGAAAAGGACAAATCCGTCTCAGGTTCCATCATGGCTGCTGCTGACGAAAAATAAGAACCACATCCAATGTTAATGCTAAGCTCGTTATAAATAAGGCTTGCGTGTTACCCTTTTAACCTGCGCAACACACAGTTGACCAAAGCGATTAAGTTACCTTCACATTAAAATATCTGATTGCCCGCATGTGTCCTAATTGCCAACGCTGACCGAGATTGAAACTGTTGCAGGGCGCACGTGACTTCACGCAGGGCTACACCGTGTCCCAAACCTGTCTCCCCAACCGATCAGTGTCCTTGATCGCATTGACGATTCACTGTCCATCGTCGGCCTCGAGCCAATGATTAAAAAACATGACATATCAGAATTAAATTTGATTCAATAATGACCAATGCCAACGACAGCAATGATGACGACAATAGCGACAAAACTGTTTGGATGCAGCACAAGCAACCCCTTCAAATCGCCGCGCACGCTTCTGCCTTGCAGGGGCTTTGGACCCCAACCCAATCTCATTACAAAACTATTATACTATTCACAAGCCAACGAAACCGCATTGACACCATGCCAACGACACCGCGTCTTAAACATGTTCTTAATTATTAGTTCCATCCACCTGTCATCTTTTCCAACGGCGCGGGTAACCAACTTGTTCAGCTCCAAATAGAGGTTCCTCCAGCTGCGAATGGTATGATATGAAGAAATAACATTTGCATCCACAAAATCCAAAATAAGAAACTGCAAATGAGACCCGTCAGACGAGACACTCGTCTCCATTGTCATGGTCCAAATTTGTTTCCTCACTGCCATCGTCGTCCTCCGTCTTCGCTTTCGTCACTGTCACCTTGCCACTGCCACCCTCCGCCTTTTTCTTAGCCTTTGCCTTTTTGCGGCGGGTCTTCCTCTCCTGGTTGGCCATGGACTTGAGCAGAGGGTCAGCATTGCCCTTTCTCCGGGCTCTTTCAATCGCTGCTCCAGTCTTCGGTTGAACCCAATCTCCGCAGAGCTCTGAAAGTTCTCCTCAGACGATCGAAGATGACGTGATGACGACTAAGACGACCAAAAAACAAAATATGGCACACCCATTAAAAAATATATCATCAAGCTGCAAATTAAATCCATCACAAGCCCGGCATGGATAATTAAAATCTCCGAGCTCAAAAACCCGCAAACAGAACAAAAACAAAACAAAACAAACCTGAAGCTTGACAAGGCACCAACCACACTCAAGGCCCTGACGTGGCTGGGGGTCGACATCAGCTGGTAGAATGCCGTCTGCAGCGACCCACTGTATGCCGGCCAGTTAATCGAAGGAACTACGGCATCCTCTGTCGGCAGGTCCTCGAACAACAGCTCTCCGGACATCATCTCATACCTTGGAATGCATAACACGTCACAGAAAAATCGGCCACAGCAAAACTCCTTCAAAATTGACCAACAAACAACTTCATTATCTTCAGATTAGTTGCAGCACGCATCCCAGGCCCCAAATGTCGGCTCTGAAGCTCATAGGAACCACCGAATACCAGATGTCATAGGGTAAAGGTGTTCCGCACACCGTCACCTTCGGCCCCATCTCCACTGTCAGTCCGAAGTCCCCAATCTTTGCGATGCTGCCGCTCACAAAGATGTTGCCGGGTTTGATGTCCCGGTGTATCAACCGTTTGCTGTGAAGGTGCATCAAACCGGACGTGATGTGCTTCAGGAATTTCCCGCACATCTCCGGCGGCAAGTGGCCCAAGCGGTGCTTCCTGATCTCTGTATGGAGATCGCCATCCAAAAGCTCCATCTCGATGAACCTGATGCCTTGGCTGAAGGTAGTTTTTATCAATGAAAAGTGTAACATGCACCAACATGCACACGCAAATTGAAAAACAAGCAATGCCGAATAAATCCAAGCCACTGCAATTTCCCCTTGTGAATTCCCCACATCCATATATGGGAACCAAGTGGGGGTGACGCAGGGTCAGCATGATCTTTCCTTCCTGCGGTGGCTTTGAGAAAAACCGCAAAGGACCACAAACCTGAATCATGAAAAAACACATGAGCTAACATTATTTGGTTCATTGATAGATGAATGTAAAATTAACAACGAGAAATAATGAATGATGACTGTTTCATGATGTATTTCGCCGCCCTGGCTGGCCCTGGCCTCCTTCAGAAAGACATCACCTTCTCCGCTGGCCATTGGCAATGCCAGCTTCAAAGCTCTTGCCGACCGGTCACGCACTGTGACTCGGAAGGCAGCGCCCATTCCACCGCGTGCCAGCAGTTTGGCCGTCGTGTAGCGGCCAAACTGCAGGACACGCGCCACCCACTTTCTCTCCTCCTCCCTCTCTTCCTCAGAATCATCTTCCATGGCTTCGGCTTACCACCGATGCGACGCCGGCTTACCACCGATGCGACGCCGACCGAAAGTTCAGAGTGAAATTTGAATTGGGTTCGGTGTCCTACTTGCTGGTGTTGGTAAGACAATGCAGGCAAATTAAATCTTGCAAGGTGTCATTAATACCTACTTGCTGTGACGTGGGTAAGGGCATTATTGCTACGGCAAGTTAGTTAAGTGCTTTGTCAACTTGTCACTTGTCGGTCTCATGTGACTCTAGTTTTTGAGCGTAAAAACATCAGTCATGTCAAAAATTATACGAACAGCTCAGCAAGCCAATAGCAATGTCAATGAAGTGAAGCAACTTAACAACCACCACCACCACCACCACCACCACTACTACCACCACCACCACCCACAACCAACAACAATGACGACGACGACGACGACGACGACGACAACAACAACAACAGCCATGCCAAAACAAAACAAAACAATTCAACCCTCAATCTCAACCTCACTGTCAACCTGCGCCGTGAAAGCCATAGGAGTCTGTCAAACTCACACCCGACAAGGCCCAGCAAGATACAATCCTGCTGGGGCCTCGTCGGGCTACTAAGTTTGCTAATAACTCCATAGTCAAGACAAGACTCTTGCTGGACATCGTCGCCGGGCTCGCCAATAATAACTCCGCAGTCAGCTCAATCCCGATAAGGCCCAACAAGATACAATCTTGCTGGACCTCGTCGGGTTTGAACTTGAAATCACTGCATGGCATTGGCCCAGACAAGGCCCGGCGTGACAGCCACCAGAACGGGCCTTGTCGGGCCTTGCTTTAACAGTGGGCATCGCCGCTGAACATTGCCGCCAAAATTCGTCAAGATTTGCCAAGATTTGCCACGATCTGCCAAAATCTGCCAAGATCCGCCAAGATTTGCCAAGATTTGCCAAGATTTTCTGATCCGTGCATTATGTGTTTTGATTTACATCAGAATGAAATTTTGAGAATCAGACAATGACACGAAACACTGACAATGCGACATTTGATACTAATTTGGAAACCGAGTACATCAGTTGGCATAACTGATAGGTACAAGCCCACATTGAATCGTTTAACCTTAGTAGTCATGAGTCGTTAAACTGCCAATCTCTCCAAAGCCTGCGCGCGGACATGCCGTAATAAGGTTGGGTGCAGGAGGGTTTCAAGACGTTTCATCTACTGCATGAACTGTTTCTACGTCAAAGAAATGGGATAAACAAACCAAATTTGATCACAGTTACAAAAATTGAGGAACCCTTGTCATTGGTCATTGTCAACGATTAAAATGTCAAGAAGATTTGGTTTAATGATAAAAATACACCGATTAAAATTATTCTGTTCATGGTGCTAGTTTTGCATTTAGCCCTGTAGGTGGTAAATAAATGGTTGAATTTCCTGTAAGTATGTTTAATATGATAATAATGATAAATCTAATCACAGGAGCCGAGGCTTGACACATTCATTCAGGAAACAAACCCAGTGACAGTCACTGTTTCTTGTTCACTGTGCTGGCATACTTTTGAATGAATGATGCTGCTCCATCAACTTGGTCAATGGCCAAGTGATATGAGGGCAACCAGAGCAACCACTATACAGCAGCAAGGTTCTCCGCACCCATTTGCCGTCCGCAGCCGTCCGCGCAGCCAAGGTCGCTCATCACCAGCGGCTTCTTCTCCCCACCCATTTCCAGCCACTCCGTTGCACCCACGCCGTCCGCAGCCGTCCACGCAGTTCTCCGCACCCATTTGCCGTCCGCAGCCGTCCGCGCAGCCAAGGTCGCTCATCACCAGCGGCTTCTTCTCTCCACCCATTTCCAGCCACCCCCTTGCACCCACGCCGTCCGCAGCCGTCCGCGCAGTTCTCCGCACCCATTTGCCGTCCGCAGCCGTCCGCGCAGCCAAGGTCGCTCATCACCAGCGGCTTCTTCTCCCCACCCATTTCCAGCCACTCCGTTGCACCCACGCCGTCCGCAGCCGTCCACGCAGTTCTCCGCACCCATTTGCCGTCCGCAGCCGTCCGCGCAGCCAAGGTCGCTCATCACCAGCGGCTTCTTCTCCCCACCCATTTCCAGCCACCCCCTTGCACCCACGCCGTCCGCAGCCGTCCGCGCAGTTCTCCGCACCCATTTGCCGTCCGCAGCCGTCCGCGCAGCCAAGGTCGCTCATCACCAGCGGCTTCTTCTCCCCACCCATTTCCAGCCACTCCGTTGCACCCACGCCGTCCGCAGCCGTCCACGCAGTTCTCCGCACCCATTTGCCGTCCGCCGCGCAGCCACGCTCGCTCATCACCAGCGGCTTCTTCTCCCCATCCATTTCCAGCCACGCCGTTGCACTCGCGCCATCCACAACCGTCCGCGCACTTCTCCGCACCCATTCCCCGTCCGCAGCCGTCCGCGCAGCCAAGCTCGCTCATCACCAGCGGCTTCTTCTCCCCACCCATTTCCAGCAACTCCCTTGCACCCAGGCCGTCCGCAGCCGTCCGCTCCATTCCTTTCCCTTCCTTTTCCATCATTTTCCGTTCCTTTCCCATCCTTTCCGATCCTTTCCCTTCCTTTCCCATCCTTTCCCTTCCTTTCCCTTCCTTTCCCTTCCTTTCCCTTCCTTTCCCTTCCTTTCCCTTCCCTTTTCCTTCCTTTCCCATCCTTTCCCTTCCTTTCCCTTCCTGTCCCTTCCTTTCCCTTCCTTTCCCTTCCTTTCCCATCCTTTCCCTTCCTTTCCCTTCCTTTCCCATCCTTTCCCTTCCTTTCCCTTCCTTTCCCTTCCTTTCCCTTCCTTTCCCTTCCTTTACCTTCCTTTCTCCTTCCTTTTTCCTTCCTTTCCCTTCCTTTTTCCTTCCTTTTTCCTTCATTTCCCTTCCTTTTTCCTTCGTTTCCCTTCCTTTCCCTTCCTTTCCCTTCCGTTCCCTTCCTTTCCCTTCCTTTCCCTTCCTTTCCCTTCCTTTCCCTTCCTTTCCCTTCCCTTTTCCTTCCTTTCCCATCCTTTCCCTTCCTTTCCCTTCCTGTCCCTTCCTTTCCCTTCCTGTCCCTTCCTTTCCCATCCTTTCCCTTCCTTTCCCTTCCTTTCCCATCCTTTCCCTTCCTTTCCCTTCCTTTCCCTTCCTTTCCCTTCCTAGGCCCTTCCTTTCCCTTCCTTTTTCCTTCATTTTTCCTTCCTTTTTCCTTCCTTTCCCTTCCTTTTTCCTTCGTTTCCCTTCCTTTCCCTTCCTTTCCCTTCCTGTCCCTTCCTTTCCCTTCCTGTCCCTTCCTTTCCCTTCCTTTCCCTTCCTTTCCCTTCCTTTCCCTTCCTTTCCCTTCCTTTCCCTTCCTTTCCTTTCCTTTCCTTTCCCTTCCTTTCCTTTCCTTTCCTTTCCTTTCCTTTCCCTTGCACCCACGCCGTCCGCACACCACCGTTCGAGCCAGGTCGCTCCCCCACGCGGTTAAACAACTAAACGAGAACCCAAGCATCGAAGATGCTTTTGGGAAAAAGGAACAATAATGAAAAAAATATGAACAATAGAGAAAAAGAACAAGTTAGGAAAAATAATAGAACATAATAAAAAAATAATGAAAAATCGGAGGAAAAAGGCAAAAACACTAATGAGAAATAGAGAAAACATGAAAAAGTAATGAAAAATAATGAAACATAGAGAAAAAGAAGGGACAGAATAATGAAAAATAAAAAAATATATGAAAATATTGAAAATCATGGAAAAAAAGAGAAAAATAATGTAAACATAATGAAAAATAATGAAAAAGATAAAAAAAGGAAAAAAACATGAAAAATGGGGAAACAGAAGGAAAAAAATAATGAAAAATAATGAAGAATATGGAAAAAGAAGGAAAAATAATGAAAAATAGAGAAAAAGAACGGAACAAAATAATGAAAAATATTGAAAAATAATGAAACATAGCAAAAAAAAGACGGAAAAAAAAAAAGAAAAAGAAGGAACCACAACAATGAAAAATAATGATCTATTAACTGTAGAGAAAAAGAAGGAAAAAATAATGAAAAATCATGAAACATAGAGAAAGAAGAAAAAACAATGAAAAATAGAGAAAAATAAGGAAACAACTAATGAAAAATTGAGAAAAATGAAATATAATAATACAACGAAACAAACAATGAAAAAACAACGAAACATCATGAAAAATAGACAAAAGGCAGAAAAAACACTGAAAAAATAGAAAAACCTATTTTATCTTGTCCGCTTTCGTTTTTTTGGAGCCTGATCAAAGAAAAACAGTGAAAAACAGTGAAAAAAACAATGAAAACAAGAATGAAAAACAATGAAAAATCTAGAAAAACAATGTGAAAAACATAGGAACACAAACAAGGAAAAATAATTAAAACCAATGAGAGCAACAATGAAAATAATGAACAACAATGAAAAAACAATGAAACAACACTGAAAATCATGAAAAAACAATGAAAAAAATGGCAAATAATGAAAAACAATGAAAAATGAAACAGCAATGAAAAATAATGAAAAACCATGAAAAAAACTACGAAAAATAATGAAAACCCATGAAAAAATAATGGCATAACAATGAACAATGCTGAACAAAAATGAAAAACAATGAAAGACAATGAAAAATAGAGAAAAAACAAAAGGAAAACCAATGAAAAAACAATGAAAGTAATGAAAAACAATGAAAACAACAATGAACAAACAATGAAAAATAATGAAAATAGATGAAAAAGCAATGACACATAATCAAAAACAATGAAAAAACAATGAACAAACAATGAAAGATGATGTAACTAGATAAAACAACAAAGAAGAATAATGAAAAACAATGAAAACAACAATGAAAAAACAATGAAAATAATGAAAAATGTAGATTTTTTTAAAAAAAACGAAAACAATGAACAATAATGAAAGACATGAAAAAACAATGAACAATAATGCAAAACAAGGAAAACAACAATGAAAAATACTGACAAACAATGAAAAACAATCAAGACATGAAACAACAATGAAAAATAATGACAAATAATGAAAACAATCAAGAAAT